CAATTCCTCTTTGTTTCCTTTTGGATTCTCTTGCAGTAACTAATTTGTGTTCAGTCGTTTTAGATTTTAAAGCCTAACTCTGGGCTAATTTAATTGTTTTTTAATTGTCCCCAGCAAGTGTTTAAAAATAAAAAGATCTGGGTGCAATTCTTACCACCTCTCTGGGGCTGTCCCTTGCTGTAATTTCTTTTTGCAACATGAAGTCCTCAGACATCAACCAGAATGACACCCAGCATCATTCAACCTCAAGGATTTAGGACCTACTTTGAGTGAAGGGCATCATCCTAGCACCCTGTATTTACAGTGTAAACATACAGACAGCATTGCTGACGTGATCACGGCTGTGCCCCTCTCTCCATTATTTGGGACCGCTTAGCCTGGAGATGAGGTGCAGAGGATCCTGCACCATCACGTAACCAGCCTAAAGATTCATAAAGAAAAAACATAAATGACTGCCTGCGAAGCCTTCAAGGGGGACACCAGAGTTGGGCTTTAAGCTTTTGTTATAAATTTTTTTAAATTTTCTTAAAGTTGGGAACATTCATGAGAATTCTATATGTGTATCTTCTGTTTCTGGAACCCCCTGTTGAAGGAACGTGCCTTTTTCCTATGAGGACAAGACTTTTACTGTTATTTGAAGCAAATATTTTTCTACAGAAATGGTGACAATCTTTCAGTATGTTCATATAAGCTGTGCTGTCTGTACATTTTATTTTCATAGCTTATAACACATCAAACCAATACAGCTTAGCTCATTGTCTCTCCTTCTTTTTTTTTTTTAATTATGAACTTTTCTTTTGTATTATACCACTGATACATGACTACTTACAGGCCAGCAATTTAAGAAAATGTTATCTATCAATCAGATAAGAATTATGTTTTGCACTGTTCTAAAGGCATTTATTTCCATTCTGATGTTTGTTTTGCTTTTTGTAATATTGACTTTAAGCAATAACTGTTGTGCCTTTGTTAGATCCACCTGTACTTTGCATTTTACAGGGCATGTGAAAGAAATGTAAGGGTATGGGATATCTTTATATGTACATAATGTATATTTACTTACATGCTGAAAAAATGCTAAATGCAGGCTTAATAAAAAAGAAAAATAATTGTGTCTTAAGATAAATTTCAACCAAACAAAATAAATTTTTATAGACTCAAGAGATCAATATATGTTTAGAGTTCAAAGGTATTCTTTATATATTGATAGAGATTGTATTTGTATTTAAAGAAACGATTTAAAATATCTGAAATAACTTTCAGCCTGTTTTTGTATTTTTAATTGGTTTATTAAAAAAGAAATAAATCAAGTACGCAGTTTAGTAATTTGCCATTTTTAACCTTTATACTGTGCATTCTATTGTTTTATTGCTTGTGCTGAAATCTTGACATTCTGTATTTGGTACATGAGTAGCAATAACGAAAGCCTCTCGCTCTATAAACTGTCACTGGATTTGATCTGTTTTTTTTTTTTTTTTTAAATCAATTTGTTCACTAGTTTTCTGAAAAACCTACCCCTATAGCTTTTCAGTACAGTAGATTTTTCATTGTGTGTCAACATGTGCCGTTTTTTAGGCCCCTGCCTTTTGATGTAGAGTAGTTGCCTGTGAGCTATCTCCCAGGCCATCCCTCTGATGAGCCAGCCTGAGGCTGTCGCCTTGGGTGGCATCTCTTTGGGTCATGTGGAGCCTGCCGCCCCCTTTCCAGCCAGAGCATCCCAGGTTGCTAAGAGCTGGGTAGGGAGATGTGTAAGGGCCATACACATCTCCCTTCCCAGCACTTGGCAACCTGAAACTCTCTAGCCAGCGTCTCTGTCAGCTCCTGGCAACCAGTGAGCCTGGCGGGATGCCTGCCAGAGCTGGGTGGAGCACCACCAGGATGCCGACCAGAGCGCCATTAGTGTGCACCTCCTGCACCCTATCAACCCAACCCCTTAAAACTTGACCACCAGCACAAAGGGGGGCAGTGATTAAGCTAGGAATAAGTACTATCCTTGTCGCACTCCTTACCGATATGTCCCTTGTAGTGGGGGGTGCTCGCAGTGACTGCGGATGGCGCCACAAATGTCAGCAAAATTGTAGAACTGTCACCAGCACGCCAATCCTTTTAAGATAGCAAAAGCTTCATTTATTGAAGTTTTTTTGTCATATGACCAAACAAGCGCTTTCGGGACCGCACAGGGTCCCTTCATCAGGCTTTAGCATGGCTTTAGTGATTAAGCTAGGGACACCCCTGGCTAACCCCAGTGTTTTGGGTTGTTTTAGTTCTCCTCCTTTGTGACTTCTATATGCTAAAATCTGTGTTCACTAGTTTTGTTTAAGCTTACTGGGATTGATTCCACATTTTACATTAATCCACTTTAGGCTGCGCTCACATCTAAGCAGTTCCCAACTAAAATAACACAGAGAAACTACAGCAACCATAAATATGTGTTACAAATAGGCCCAATTATATATCTGCATTGCAGTGCAGTGTATAATAGTTCATCTAAAGCTTCTAATGTTTTCCTCTCAGAGCAATAACGGGGATTTTTCAATGCAAGTTGACATGTTGTCTTAAATGAAGTGTAATTGATCTATTTTTATGGTAAATGCATCTGGGAAGCTGGATTTCTCCTGCATCTGCTATACAGAGCGTGGCAGGGCTTTCATTTACCTAAACTCCTGCACATGTGATGTCATTGTAATCTGGTGGATGCCTTGTTAGCTCTGTGGGATCAGAAGAACATAGAGCACAGGCTTACAGAACTGGCCAGCCAACATCACATGCGATTTTTATAGTTTGACCATAGTTCTACTTTAAGGGAATGGGGCAGCCTGCATGAATAAAAATAGAGCAGATATAGATATTACAGAGCCCTAGGTGCACCTATGATGACACTATTTTGTACAAGCTCCACTGCTTATATGGTGCAATTATGTTTGTACAAACTAATGCTAGAATGAGATATTGGAGATATATTGCAGTGTATGTAGATATATTTAAAGTGATATTAAAGTCAAAATGTTTTAAGCTATTTCAAATGCAGAATCAGCTGATCCTCTGAGCACTGACTCTGATTTTTTGTTTCATGGTGGCTCCTTTTGGAGCCACCCTTGTGTGTGCTAGTAAGCTGTGTGTGTCTCCACAAACAGTCATACGCAGCGAGACAGACATTTCCCTGCTCTCTTCCCTCTGCTCCCGGTGGGTATAGCTCCCCCTAAAATCCTGCCCTCTGTAGGTTGGGTTGGCTGTCCAGGGAGTGTTGCTATTGGCTGCTAAGGTTCAACAGTGGTGTGGCAGGTGGACGGGGCCTAGCATGAAGATCAGTGATGCAGAGTCCTGTTGAAAGAAAGGGCCTAAGCCCCTCGAAGGGCACAGAAGTGATTCACTTGAACAAATGACACATAATATTGAGAGTGTATTCTCATAATCTAAATCAATGGAAATGAATATTTGTCAGATGAAAAAGGTAAGTGCACCTTTACATTTACTACCACAATACATCAATTTAATTAGAATCAGGTGGTCCGGACTAGGTGCTAATCATTAGAACCTCCTCTCAGGTGGATGTTGACAAAACTTTGGCAGGTCAAAAACTTGGTATAATACACTGGATGCATAAATCCCACTTCTGTGACCCCCTAAAATTGGCAGCTAAACTTTGCTCTCATGTCCAATCTAGACAATCCCCAATTTCCCCCGATTTAGAAAAGAAGGCTTTCTAACACTGGCCTACCATGGGCCTGCTGCCACAACACCATTTGGCAAGAGGTGACAAGGTACTTGACCTATTAGAAATAAGAAACAGATGGAGGCATGTGCTTCTGAACTGTTGGGAATGGCTCCAACTCATTCATTTCATTTAAGCACGTGTCAGAGCGAAGCAAAGCGGTCAGGCACGGAGCATCACATGCAGTGTGTGAGCTGAGTGCAGCCAGATGAAAGACTGCATCTTCAGCCAATCGGCTCGCGTGTAACAAGCGGATGGACTTCACATTGTGACGCGTAGGCTTATACGTGCGAGCCGGTTGGCTGAAGATGAAATTTTTCATCTCAACATGCTCAGCTATGCTTGCTCTCGCAAGCTGACGTCCCGGAGAAGAAATGACATGACACATTGCATGCGAAGGCAGCGCGCCACTTTTCCACACTGCTTCACATACACAGCCTTAAGACCCTTCCAAAACCACAAGAACACTCACAGGGTTATTAACAAAGGGTGAAGAGTTTGGAGAAGGCAGGAGAAGTGAACAATCTAGGACAACATAGCTGATTTGGAAATATTCTCCAATTCAGTTCACGTTCCAGTTCAGTTATGTTGTCCTAGATTGTTCACGTCTCCTGCCTTCTCCAAACGCTTCACCCTCTAGTGAATAACCCTGTTAGATTCACTCAACCTGATGTAGCAAGTCTTCTTACCAGTGGCTAGTCATTCTCGTGGCATATCAATGTTGTACAAAATTCTCCTAGCAGCTGCACATCCTTGGCCCACCAATAACAGGAATTATCACACACGAACCAAAATTCTTTGTTTACTCACACCTCTTCTACCAAAACTAATATATCAGAGATGACTGTTAAACTAAAATATGATGGTACACCAGGTGAAAATAAAGGGAAAAAAGCCTAAAAAAAAAAGACACAACCTCAGTCACCACACCTAAGGACTGTTAACATTTTTCTTATGGGTGTGCATACATTTGAAGTTGCTGTGGAGAAAGTGGTCAAATGGTTGCAGATGATGTTTAGGAAAAAAACTATTTTTGTTTTGTTAATTAGACCGGACTTGTTCTGATAAGAAAACTTACTTTTGTGAAAATTTCTAAAATGCTGTTAAAATTATTCCATGTATGTACAAAATAAGCAAACTGGTCTTTTTATTTGGTATTGAGGCCATCTAGTGGTACAAATGCAGATTGCAGACAAACCACTTGTTGTTTGCTTTCCATTGTCAACATTTCCTCACACTGTTTCCTTTTGACATTTAAAAAAAA